GTAAAGTAGGTCCTTTTGATCTTGGACATTTTTTTTTATGGATTTTGACAGCACTAAAGCATATAGTTCCAAATTATAGTTGATCTTGGCTTCTTAAGTGGATTCTGACAACACTTTGCATATAGACACCAAGTGTAGATGATCTTGGGTTCTCTCATATGGATTCTGACAGTACTTTGATTATACATGTAGTTCCAAGTATTGTTGATCTTGGCTTCTAATGTTGTTCTTAAGTTTCTGCACTTTACATATAGTTCCCAATTGCAAGACAAGATGATACTGGCATCTCGTGTAAATTCTGTCAGTTCTTTGCCAATAGTTTCCAAGTAAAGTTGACCATTCCAGGATCTTCCACAACAAATCACTCCTTCCTCTTACATGTACTTGAAGCCTGAAATTAAATGTCAGAGTAATTCTGTCAGTTAATCAACCATGATTGACATTTAAAAGCATAATGTAGTTCATATTTTAAATAAATGGGGAATGTGTCCATGGGACACAGATGATGCCCCCACTTGCATATAAAGTTATAAAGGAGCATAACTAAAGAACGGTAAGAGTGACACTACCCAAAGTTTTACTTGATCTGAATTTTGTTGTAATAAGTAATGTGTATAAGTTTCATAACATTTGGATGAGGCAAACTAAAGTTAGAGAACAGAAACAAAAAATTCAGCAATTTTTCCATTTGTAAAGGGGCATAACTCTAGAACAGTAAAAGTGACACCACCAAAAAAAATTCAAACTTGATCTGTGTTTGTTGGTAATAAGCATTGTGTATAAGTTTCATAACATTTGGTTGAGGCAAACTGAAGTTAGAGAACGGACACCAATTTTGGGACATACGTACAGACAGACAAGGGTAAAACTTAATGCCCACTCCACTACGGCGTAAAAAAATGAAGAATTTGTGGCAACAATAATGAGCAAACAAAATAAAATTACATGCACAGCAAGTGTAAATAGTGATTTTGTTCTTATATATATGTTGAATACAGACTTCTCAGGGCATGCTGTTTCGATGCCAGGGACAAGTTATTTCTATGCCTAAAAATTCTAAAATGCAGCTGAGCTACATTTGTACTCCTCGTCAACCAAATTATTCTGAGGTGTCTTGTAACCTGTTTGGAATATGGGATATACAAATTTTGTGTTTAAAAATACTAAGCACAAAACAATAATGAATTTTTCAACTCAAATGTATGTGTTATTTGGTAAACAAGATAAGCCCTACGTGTATGTTTAAACCTGATACTTGACGTTATGAAATTTTTTATACAAAAGAGAGACAGGGGGGGGGGTGGGGGGGTGTTTAATTGTTAACAAATTGTGATCAAGACGAATCCATCAATAAAATGTATTGCCTCATACTGTAGTGGTTATAATTTACAAATCAGGCCATTTATGTATTCTCAAGAAAACAAACGAAACAATGGAACCCCTTGAGCGGGTAGTCCTATAATATATGCCTTCGCATTACATGTATATATTCACTATTTAACGTTTTCATGCTGATATTTTCATTTTTTTTTTTTAAAGGCACATTGACAATAAAAAAAAAAAGAAAGAAAAATAGCAAAATCAGTAAAAAGAAAACAGAAATAGAAAATAATGCCCCTGAGTTCATATATTATAGGACTACTTGAGCGGGTGGACAGGGATAAGGGAACATGGGAATGAGGGATCAGGAAGCGAGAAAAGGGGGTATCATGTGCAGGTATGTTACCGTTAATTAGCCTGGTCTGAGTGAAAATAAAAGTAACCAATTTGGTAGAAGTAAATCTTATGAAGATTATAAATAGAAAAAAAACCTTAGATCTTGTGTGAGTCACTTTATTTTTAAACAATAAAAATAAACTTAATATATCTTTATTTTATTGTTATAGAACTATACTAACAAAAGCATGATTTAGATAAAAGGAAGGGTACAAACAGACTCAGGGTGCGAATGTAAAAGGGATGAACGTGAATTGGAGCGAACATGATTTTTGGGTGAAAGGACAAGAATTCGAAAAGAGGGGGGGATGAATAATCTGGGAAATATATTTTGCAATTTTTTTGTCTGGGAGCAAGGGGGATGGAGGTAGAAGTTAGGGGAGAAAATTTTAGAGTAAAAGGGAAGAGAAATGGGAGTTGGGGATAGGGAGTGGTAATCATGAACCCCTGTCCGAGGGAAGTTATGGGGTACCCCATTTTACAGGTTGGGACCAAACCCTCTATATGGTTTTCAGGGGTGGATCCAGTCATTTATAAAAGGGGAGGGGGGTTCCTAACCCAGGATAAAGGGGGGGTTCCAACTATATGTCCCCATTCAAATGCATTGATCGTCAAAAAAAAAGGGGGGGTTCCAACCCCCGGAACCCCCCTGGATCCGCCACTGGCGTTTAAACCTGTATAGAGGAATAATCCTTCTATAGAGGGGAATTTTTGTTTAGACTGGATTTAAAGCAAAATAGGGCAGAATGGCATTTTCTACTTATTATGGCAGTAACCTGCTACATTTGATGCACCAATTGATGTACTTAATTTCAATTCACATGCCCAGTTTACTGCTAAACTGACTGAATATACAATCTATTGTACACCATAATTGAAAGCTGTGATGATCAGGTAAATTCCACTCAGTTATGCCTCACTGAACAGAATTTCTATTGTTAGATTTAACATAAAATTTAAAGGTCAACGCATGTCCCTTTTGTTGTTGATCAGGTGTTCAGATAGGTATACAATAGATTGCAAGTTCTGTCACTTTAGCAGAAAACTGGGCATCCCAGGCCATTTTTTGGTAAAGAAATACAGAATACAGTAAGGTGCAATAATTGATGCATATATAGTGCTATAGATTATAGCAAATATAACTAGAAAATGCCATTCTGCCCTATTTTGCTTTAAATCCATTCTAAACAAAAACACCCCTCTTTTATCCCTCTATAGAAGGATTATTCCTCTATACAGGTATAAACACCATGTAGAGGGTTTGTTCCCAACCTGTTTTACTAGTCATTATAGACGCTAACGATAAATATTTAACTTCATTTGACCCTAAGGGAGCTACCACTTGATTTTTATGGGGGGGGGGGCTAGGATGAAATTTGAAAAAATAGGCAGGACAGGAGTTTGGAGTAAAAAAAAAAGGCAGGATGAGCAACACAGGTAAAAAAAAAAAAATTCAGGATGACAATTTGTGTAAAAAAATTCAGGATAAACTAGTAAAAAAAAGGAAGGATCGAACAGAGTAAAAATATAAAAAGGCAGGACAGAGATTACAACTAAAAAAAAAGCAGGACAACATTTTTCATCCTAGCCCCCCCCCCCCCCCCCCCCCATAAAAATCAAATGGTAGCTCCCTAACGTGGCTACGAAATTTGATTTTACGAATGACGATATAAAATCAAGACTCATTTGACGCTAACGATAGCGCAGATCATGAGATGCTGAAAATGACCATCCCCTCCTCTTTGACTGTTTGACACGGATATTTTTTCAAAACAGGCTATACATGTTCACAACTTGCCAATTAACAGGTTAAGGGTCAAGTAAACACATAAATAAGATACCAGCCATAACGATTATACATAGAACAGAAATTTAGCCCATGCAAGGTTTCAGCCGCAGTGATTTTCTACAGTATCGAGTATTTTGAGATAACCCCCCACTTTGTATTTTTCGTGATACTGATAACATTTAGCTGTCTAATATATTAAAATCTATGTTTTCTTATGTAATGACTCTACCTTCATCGTTGTCTATTCGCCACTATGTCTGTTATTCATGCACATGGTCGTATTTATCAGTGCAGTATCAGGTATGCTGCTCAGCAATGGCAACCCTGAAATTTCTGTTGTCCGATTATGGCGCCAGATTAGAGGGAAGCAACTCGCGCCAGACAAAATTACCGTATTTCACCAAAATAATCAAAATTTCGCTTTTTTATAACAAACAGTAAAATGTTCATCACATTTATATTCAGCTTTCGTCCATTGATATAATTACAAACATTATTTATTTAAAGACATTAATAAAAAAATCACAATAAAGTAATTAATGGAGTGCATTGAAATCAGACCTCATGGGGTAGAGGGGTTAAACAAAAGCTCGTAACTTTTTTAAAAGCCTGGTGACCCCCATTTTATTTTACCTTAAAATGCTCGAAAAGTTCATAGCTTTGACATATTCGTTTTTAAAAAAAATCTACCGGGGAAATTTTACGAAAAATCGATTTAACCAATATTTTTAGCCTTAAACTGAAATTAAAAAATGCCAAATTTAGACATAAATCTGAAAATAAAAGGATTTTTAAGTCTAATACAACCAAGGGGAACGTTTACATTTCAAATTTAATTGTTTGTTCACATAATAATCATACTGACATGGTTCTAAAAGTCTTTGAATTTGATGTAGTCGTTATTGTTGAAAGGGTGTAAAAGTTTGGAAATAGGGTCAAAATCGCACATTTCGCTTCCATTTGAGGGGAAAACGAGCCTGGTGACCCCCTTTTTTCTTTGAATTTTTGGATTCAGCATAAAAAAATCTACAAAATATGTGAAAATAAAAAAATTCTACCGGGGGTCCTTATTGGGGTGAGCCACCTTAAGAGGTCTGTTCGGAACTTTGGGTCCTCAATGCTCTTCACCGTCGTATTTTATTTGGCTTTTTTGCTTTTTTAATTAAGCGTCACTGATGAGTCTTTTGTAGACGAAACGCCCGTCTGGCGTTCAAAATTTGAATCTGGCGAAGAACTGAAAAATTACCACAAACTGATAGTAAAACTTATTTAATTTCATTTTGCAGGTGAGCTTGCTGTTGTTTTGAAAACCCTCGATAAAGGAACGACTAACGATTCCATTTTTTTTTCTCGAAATCAATATATACAATTGTCCAAAAATGGATTTAACGTCACTGAAGTAAGAAATGTCACATTTTATCTGAAAGCTTGCCACGATGCAGTGTTAGCACTTTGGAATGACAGTAAACTGGGCATGTGAATTGAAATTAAACAGATGTCTAACGTAGCAATTGGAAATTCAAAATATTTGGATTGTTATAACTTTAAAAAATTTTCGCTGGACTTGACAAATGGAGATTTATGGTATGGCACTACGAAATTATTCAGCGCTTTTACCTTACATTTCCAAAAAATAACGTTGTCAACTCGAGAAATTGGAATAATGACTAGGAATGGTTGTGATGGGGAATGGATATTCATTGGCGGTCAGAGTAAGTTTTTTCGAACTATATTAATGCACACCAAATGTACTCTCTAAACATTTCGATAAAACTCCCTAAATGAATTAACAGACAGTATGTCCTTCTCAAGGTAATTCTGTACATACTAGTATCTACTAAACAAATTTTAGTTGATGCATTTAAAAAAAAACTGAATTAACACCTTCTTAAACGTTATATGTATTGATCATTTAATATATATTTGTTAAGTTATGTTGATTTCAAATTACCATGAGTGACAAGATTTAGAAAAGATGACATTAAATATAAGTATATACATGTATGCATTGTTGATATCTATAAATGATTCGGTAGATGTTTAGTCACTGCAGCACAAGCATATTTACTTTTCCTGCGAGAAGAAAAATGAATAAACCAAAGATAAGAAAAGTAGAAAAACGGAAAAAACATTTTCTCATATATGACATGTTCATGTAGCAAACAACCGTCTATGTTGTAGATTGCAATAAACAATTAATTTCCCCATAGGCGACAATGATAGCCTTTTTCGAGATACTCACTTTTAGAAAGTTGATTTTTTTAAGGAAACCTTGCTAGATTTAAAAAAAATTATTCAGACAGTTTTTTTTTTTGGTCCAAAAAAATATAGGTTCCTGTTGCTTTTCTCAACGTAATTTGTACTTATCTCCCTTGCCTATCAATTTTGCACTTAAAAACACGTGTCTCATCCTAGCGTTGAAAAGACATCTCAGTTCCGTTAGGGCTAAGGAAAATATATCATTTTGCCTTTGGTATAATGCAGAGTGCAAGAAGTCTCTTATAATAAGAAAATAACGGGTGCACATATCGACCAATCAGGATTAGCCATACTAATGTGTGCGCCTATAAAATCTAATGGTTTATTGTAACCTGTACGTTAAGGCGTAAGTTTACTAATTTTCAAATCTCGTAAATTGATTAGGAATCTAGAGATAAATCAAGATAACAAACAACAATTGAAGGAGGCTTCTCATGTTACATTATAGAAAAATAAGAAGACTTTACGGTTCGGAATAGTGTGACTGTAATTACAGAATAAATGTTGAAGCATATTTTTTTAGCGAACTTACATAAGCTTACAAAAATTTCGCTCGGATTATTTACATCAGCTATGCTATTCTCTATTAAAATTTTTTTTTTTTCATAGATACATCATCACACTGTGATAACCGTCGACAGTATATAACACCAAATGTAACAACTACTATTCAACAATTGGTACAGGACATTCGTATTCAAGACAAGACAGTGTTATCTGCATATAAAAGGAAAAAGATATGTGCAGATGATTCTAGGGTCACTTGCGTTAGCTTGGGTTGTATAGGAAGTGTTGTCATTATCCTTATTGGGATGTTTATAGTCATTCTGGATTTGTTACCAAAACGTGTCCAGTCGGAATAGATAAAACAAAACAAAAAAGACAAAAATACAGATACCAGTTCAAACAAAAAGTTAATTTGACGGAATGTGTCTTTGTGAAAAAAAAAGAGAATAAAATAGCTATAAATAAAATACTAGTAGTCATCATTTTTTTTATTTTTTTTTTTTGCGAAAGCGTTTACTAACACTATCAAAACTATTCTTGAAAAGCCCTACACAATATTTATAGCGATTTTGTTCGTATAAGTCATGTACTGTTTTACGCCAATTTTGAAGGAGCCTGATGCAACATTCGAAGCTACTAGTATTGAACAAAACAAGGGACCTTAAGAGTAATAATTTCCTTGAAAAATAGAGGGAAAAGATACCAAAGGGATATTCAACCTCATAAGTCGAAGACAAACTGACAACGCCATGGCGAAAAACAAAAGACAAACAACAGTCTACAAATACAACATAACAATCTAAAAAACTGAGAAACACGAACCCCATCAAAATCCGTCGCTGATCTCCAGTGAAAGGACAAACAAACCCTGCTCTACATGTGGCACCCTTGGTGTTGCTCATGTAAGTACACATCCGGTTATAATAAAATTGAGAATGGAAATGGGGAATATGTCAAAGAGACAACAACCCGACCAAAGAGCACACAACAGCCGAAGGCCACCAATGGGTCTTCAACGCAGCGAGAAAATCCCGCACCCGGAGGTGGTCCTCAGCTGGCCCCTAAATAAAATTGTGTACTAGTTCAGTGACAACGGACGTCACCCTAAACTCCAAAACATATAAATGAACTAAAATTTAAAAACATACCAGACTAACAAAGGCCAGAGGCTCCTGACTTGGGACAGGCGCAAAAATGCGGCGGGGTTAAACATGTTTTGTGAGATCTCAACCCTCCCCCTATACCTCTAGCCAATGTAGAATAAAGAAACACATAGCAATACGCGCAGTAAAACTCAGTTTAAAAGAAGTCCAAGTCCGATGTCAGAATAGGTAACAAAAAAACTAAGCAAAATGACAATGATACACAAATAAACAAAGGACTACTAGCAGTTACTGACATGCCAGATCCAGACCTCAATTAAACTGATTGAAAGATTATAACTTCATCATATGAAAATCAAGTACAATCCCTCCCGTAAGGGGTTTAGTATCATACCATCATAAAATATATGAGAAGAACATCATCCGTATAAGTCTAATTCGGTGATGTTACATTCGAGGAAAAGAGGATGGAATTGTGGTTGCCACGGTTGGAACATATCCGTCGTCATTTGAGGAACAGAAATTCCATTTTCGGTTAACCAACTTGTGATGGCGTCCGTAAATTTTTTGAATGGATGACTTCAATTTAACAAATTGAAATACAAGCTCTGGGATATGGTATATATCTATATAAATAGAGGTTAAGTTGGTAATATATATGTATCAGTATTATTCTTACCAAATAAAACATGTTGAAAACGCAGAACAGATACCAAAGGTGGCAAAAAACATGTTTTAAAATGCAGATATAATTTAGAATAATATTCCAGACTATGCAATTGAGAAAATTGAGAAAATGTTTTTATGTGAATGTACAATCTGAAGTGACTTGGATAGTCACATGCTTTTGTTGTCCAAAACTCTTGAAAAGTAAGTTGTATGAAAAGACGGGCCGGGATTTCATGAAATGTTATGTTTCATAAAACTCCTAAAAGTTAATAAGTTTCACCCCCAAACAGCTTTTCAATATGCATAACGACAACAGAATACGAACAAACCATACACAGAAAAATAACTGTACGAAGTTATGTTCTGCCTTCAGGTATTCGATCATGGAACATTATTTCGGATGATATCGGAATAAATCCATCAAATTCGAACTAAACAAGTTTGTGTCATTGATCAAATTTATTCGTCCAGTGTATGTTCACTTGTTTTTGTTAATATGTCTTTTGATTGAGTTAAGCCATTGCAATTGATATTTTATAGTGTGTCTTTCTATGTTGTCATGTTACACTATTGTTTCAGTTTAGGGTGCAGGTTGGCGCCTATTAAAACGTTTAAACCCGCTACATTTGTTTGCACCTGTCCTAAGTCAGGACCCTGATGTTCAGTGGTTGTCATTTGTTGATGTGGTTCATAAGTGATTCTTGTTTCTCGTTTTTTATATAGATTAGACCGTTGATTTTCCTGTTTGAATGGTTTTACACAGTCATTTTGGGGCCCTTTATAGCTGGCTGTTCGGTGTGAGCCAAGGTTCCGTGTTGAAGGCAGTACTTTGACCTATAATGGTTTACTTTTACAAATTGTGACTCGGATGGAGAGATGTCTCATTGGCACTCATACCACATCTTCTTATATCTATTAACCTTTCTACAAAGGTACGATGTGCTGCACAGTATCATAAATTACGGCATTGTGAAGCAATAATTGTTGATCGGGCATTGAATACCTAATTTGTAATGTCATTCTTTATTTTCCGTATTTAATATGTTTTTCCTGTCCGGGATATTTTCCCAATTCTGTATCTCATTCTAGCCAATATAAACTTAGCCATCACAAGACAACAAATCAGAACCGATACATGTAGTTGTTTAGTAAATTAATCATTTCAAGATGACGTGAATGTCGATTGAATCTAACAGCTAAGCACTATGATGTGAAGCAATGGTAATACAATCTTTGATTAAAAAAAACAAATAACTAGTATTGTAATGATCGGAAGGGTCATATACTTCATCCCAGACTGTTGATTGCAGTGGTATTCATGAACATTTATATCAAATAATACTCAAGAGTAAAGTATGTTCTAGTGGTATTATACCATTATGTAATTATGTATAGCAGTATCCATTTCTGTTGGAGTGTAATTATAGATTATCATTGATCATCTCAACGAGATTGATTTTCTAGCTTGAGCCGGTACGGCGAAAGTGAGAAAAGCAATCGAGTTGAGATGACCAATGATAATCTCTTTATCGCTATTTTACCTAACGCGACGTTGTTAATTTCATTGACAACGGGCACGTGCTCCCTTAGTTTCTAGCGATAATTTTTCATATCACTCGACTCCGCTGAGAAAGGAAATTATCAGTCAGCAAGATCAAAGGAAAATTTCGTAAAATAGCGATAATAATTTATACACATGCACCGACGACAACGATACGATACAAACTCTCCCGTTTCAAAACAATATCAAGTCACTTTTGTTTGGCAACGATATACTTAGTCAAGAAGAACATGAACTGATATTAAAGCAAGTTCAGATATTTGTATTGGAATCAAAGACATCACATCTAAATTGACTGCCTCTATTTCTAAAAGTTCAATCTAGATTGTGATTTGAGTGGCAACACAAATCCTCCACCGTTATAGGAATGGTCTGACACTATTGATATTGTATTCCTATTTCAAAGCAGTGGTTTCCTTTCCACTTTTGATAGGGAGAAAATTGGTTTCCGAATCAATGTATTTAATGCCAAACAAATAAAAAGAGTTTTATGTAAAATGCTCAAAACATTTGTTCCCGAACGTTTCTAATGGAGGTAGTCCAGAAACAAGTGTCATGTGTCATGCGCACCCAGATCAGTATCATACATTTACGTTCACAAAATTTTTCTAATGAATAAACTCATTATAAATGTATCAGGATAAAATTTTGTACGCCAGACGCGCGCTTCGTCTCCAAAAGACTCATCCGTGACGCTCGAATAAAAAAAAAGTAAAAAGGCCAAATAAAGTACGGAGTTGAAGAGCATTGAGGACCCAAAATTCCGAAAGGTTTTGCCAAATACAGCTAAGGTAAACTATTCCTGAGGTCGAAAAGCTTAAGTGTTTTGAAATTTTTTTTTTTTATAATTATGACCATATTAATGATAATTCGTGTAAACAGAAGAAGTGCTGACTACTGGGCTGCATGAACTGGGCTGCATGGTGATATGACAGATATCACTAGTGGATCAGGATCTGCTTACCCTTCCGGAACACCTGAGATCGGTATCATACGTTTAGTTCACCAAATTTTAACTTATGACAGATATCACTCCTGGAGCAGGATCTGCTTACCCTTCTAGAACAACTGAGATCGGTATCATACGTTTCAGTTCATCGAATTTTAAGTTATGACAGGTGCCACTACTGGAGCGGGATCTCCTTACCTAGTTTTCTATGTAGAGTGTTGTGGATCTGTTTCGTCTTTAGACTTTGTACATGGCGTTGTTAGCTTCTCTTCGACTTATGAGTTGTGAATGTTCCCTTATTATCTTCTTCCACTTTTTATATATCAGATCATCACCGGATATGACTCATTGTCAACTTTTACCACTTGACAGTTAAGACCAATGATTGACGCATGAAAAACAGGATCAATTTAGTCTTCCAAACCCCATGATAACAATTCCGGTTCCTGTTTTAAAGTTGATTAAATTTAAAATGTTTGTTGATGGTAGAAGTATTTTCGTATTAGTCTGTGCAATTTCCTTAAAACTGCATAAATAAAAGACATGAATAAGACAGCAACCTAAGGACAGGCTTAATCAATTATATATCTCGTCCTCAATAGTAGACAGATATCTTTACTTTGTCAAATTATCTTGAGTCTGTAAACGATGCTAATGAATTAAACTCAAACTATCAAATATAAGCCATCAGCACAAAATGTAATTTGATTTTGCCTTATTTATGCGTCATCTTTCAGATTACAGTTTTTCATTCCTCGTTTTATCAGAAGGTTCTGTTATGTGTACAGTGGATATCTGTTATTTCCCCTTTATTTTAGAAATGTATCTTTTTCATTTTGTGTTGTTAAGTTTAAGGTTTAAGGTCGAAAGATCTTAAACGAAGATAAAATATGTAAAAATCCGAGGTGCCGTGACATATCAAATACGATTACGGTAAAAAGGTGAGGCACATCATAATTTCCTGCATGTCTTGCTGATTTTTTTTTTTTTGTGTATTTGATATAAATTCGAAAGATAAACATACGCTTGCTGGCAAATATTTATCTTAAGAAAGATAGTTACATTGTAGTTAAGAGAGTGGTTGCCTGATAAGAGTATAATTTAATACATCCGAAACGTAGATCATGGATCCGCTCCCGTTGTTTCCTTCGCGTTCTCGCATGACGTGCGTTTAGAATTGGTTCCGTCAGGAAAATTGCCATTGTTATATTATAGTCCGTTTCTCTGTGTGTTACATTTTAATGTTGTGTTTCTGTTGTGTCGTAGTTCTCTTATATTTAATGTGTTTCCCTCAATTTTAGTTTGTAACCAGGATTTGTTTTTTTCTCAATCGATTTATGAATTTCGAACAGCGGTATACTACTGTTGCCTTTATTTTTCCGTCCCTGACCATGTCAAACTAAGGGATTAATACCAGGTAATTACTGATTCTCTGAAAAGCATGCAGAATTATAAAAGAAAAAGGCAAAAATAGGTCAGCTGGAAAGCAGAATAATGTATCAAATTAAAGGTGTCTTCCTACTATCTTTTGCATCAAAATCTTACTAATATAAAAGAATAAGGAGGTGTGGTATGATTGCCAATAAGACAACACTCCACCAAAGTTCAAATAAAGTGGATATTAGCAATCATAAGCAATCTTACCGCCTTTAATAATTAGAAAACCGTATAGTCGGCTATAAAAGGCCCCGACGTAAAAAATGAGAAAACTAACGGCCTTATTTATAACAAAACAATTTACGAAAAAAATATATGACAGCCATGAACAAACGACAACCTCTGAACTAAATGCTCCTGACTTGGGACAGGCACATAAAGAATGTGGCAGGGTTTAACATGTTTGTAAGTTTGCCGTGTAAAGGAGGATATTTTCAAATGCCATATACATGTCATCAATCTGAAAATGCATTTAATATATCCTGCTGGACGTTTAGTGACCATCAAATTAATCAATCAACCAACTTTATTCTAGGAATACACGTACACGATATTAACACTTTGAAATGTCTATAATATTACCCTGCTTTATTGGTTTATCTTATCAAGTTATATTAGATTATTTACATAATTTATATTATCTTCTTATTAAATTTAATGTAAACTATTGGTTGTTTTCTATATCATTTTGTAAATTATAATGTGAAATAAAATTCAGTGTCCTCACTATGCTTGCTATTTATATGTGGAAAATGTATTTCATTTTACATTGTGCAATATTTATAAAGATGATCTTAGGGTAAGTTAGGTAATATACTTTCCACTATGCAGTAGCTACATGTAGAGGTGTACATGTAAATAGCTGATAAATTATTTTTTGGAGGGTTTGTCGTATAAAATTGTTCCTTTATGGCTGCAAGTTGTGCTCAAAATTTTTTAAGTGTTATTTCTTTCGGACAATTGCCCTTTGGATATAGTAAATATAAGTTTTCATTTTTTTTTTCTCCGTTTGTTCAATAGTTTCCCCATTGCTTTGTCTTTCAAAAAGTACTACGAATGTCAAATAGTCTTTAATGGGTCCACTTTCATTCGTTTATAGTAAGTCTTATTATATTGCAATAAACAATGTTTTTTAGCGATCCATTTTGCTATAAAAAATATAGTAATGTAATACATTTTTTGTCAGTTACAGTTAAATATTTGTCAAATGTGATACCTTTATTGTTGTTATGAAATGTTTTAAAATTTTGTCAGTATTTAGCTTAACGGTATAGAGAACTTTAGACATTAGATGATTTGTCCATAAAATCAATGAAAAAAAAACACTTTGTGAATTTTGTGAGGCCGAAACGTCTTTCTACATTAATATGCAGCATGAATACTCGAGAAAACATTTGAAAACCAGGGATCCGCTCCCATTGTTTCCTTCACGTTCTCGCATGACGTGCGTTTAGAATTGGTTCCGTCCCTGACCATGTCAAACTAAAGGATTAATACCAGGTAATTACTGATTCTCTGTAAAGCATGCAGAATTATAAAAGAAAAAGGCAAAAATAGGTCAGCTGGAAAGCAGAATAATGTATCAAATTAAAGGTGTCTTCCTACTATCTTTTTCATCAAAATCTTACTAATATAAAAAATAAGCCGGGAGGTGTGGTATGATTGCCAATGAGACAACACTCCACCAAAGTTCAAATAAAGTGGATGTAAGCAATCATAAGCAATCTAACAGCCTTTAATAATTAGAAAAACCGTATAGTCGGCTATAAAAGGCCCCGACGTGAAAAATGTGATACAATTCAATTGAGAAAACTAACGGCATAATTTATAACAAAACAATTTACGAAAAAAATCTATGACAGACGTGAACAAACGACAACCTCTGAACTAAATGCTCCTGAATTGGGACAAGCACACAAAGAATGTGGCGGGGTTTAACATGTTTGTAAGTTTGCCGCGTAAGGTAGGATATCTTCAAATGACATAATTAAACATGTCATCAATCTGAAAATGCATTTAATATATCCTGCTGGACGTTTAGTGACCATCAAATTAATCAATTAACCAACTTTATTCTAGGAATACACGTACTACAATATAGGTCGACCCACACAATCTTCTTCCCATACACAAAAAAAGTCCAATAGTATCAGTACATTTATACTAATATCAATACGAAATTGTGGTGTCACATTATCAGGAAATGTATCAAAATTCAAGTTCTATTTTCATTATGACGTGTGATCCTCTTGCACTATTGTCCAGATATTTTACAGTAACTATCTTTTTCGGATATTAACACTTTGAAATGTCTACAATATTACCCTGCTTTATTGGTTTATCTTATCAAGTTATATTAGATTATTTACATAATTTATATTATCTTCTTATTAAATTTAATGTAAACTATTGGTTGTTTTCTATACCACTTTGTAAATTATAATTTGAAATAAAATTCAAATCAAATCACAGCGTCCTCACTATGCTTTCTATTTCTATGTGGAAAATGTATTTCATTTTACATTGTGCAATATTTATAAAGATGACTCAGGGTAAGTTATGTAATATACTTTCCACTATGCAGTATCTACATGTAGAGGTGTACATGTAAATAGCTGATACATTATTTTTTGGAGGGTTTGTCGTATAAAATTGTTCCTTTATGCATGCAAGTTGCTCAAAACTTTTTAAGTGTTATTTCTTTCGGACAATTGCCCTTTGGATATACTACATAAGTTTTCATTTTTTTTCTCCATTTGTTCAATAGTTTCCCCCTTGCTTTGTCTTTCAAAAAGTACTACGGAGGACAAATAGTCTTTAATGGGTCCACTTTTATTCGTTTATAGTAAGTCTAATTATATTGCAATAAACAATGTTTTTGAGCGACCCATTTTGCTATTCAAGTTATAGTAATGCAATACATTTTTTGTCAGTTACAGTTAAATACTTGTCAAATGTGATATTTTTATTGTTGTTATGAAATGTTCTAAAATGTTCAGTTATAGATTAACGGTATAGAGAACTTTAGACATTACATGATTCGACCGTAAAATTAATGAAAAAAAAACACTTTGTAAATTTTGTGAGGCCGAAACGTCTTTCTGCATTAATATGCAGCATGAATACTCGAGAAAACACTTGAAAACCAGGGATGTGTAAAAAATAGGCACGTTAGAAGCTATATGACCAAAAGGGACCTTGAAAAAAAGCCAAAATCATTAATAGTCAACGTTGCCAGAGGGAGTTGTGATGTTGATATCATGTTTGCATGCGGAAGGTATAACGCGATATTGACATGAAAGATGCATTTTTTTTTCAATTAAGCCTTGCTTTCGGACTAACAATATGAGTAAATAAGCCCGAAGAATTGATAAAATGCATTTAATTCAATGTCAAGAGCTCGCCAGTAAATTAATTGTCTTTAGTTATATACTTGTGTGTTAACTTTGTTTTTATTTACACATTTTGGTGTTGTGGGCAGATCTTTGATGGACTTTCGTATCTGTAAAATTAATTCACAACTATTATAGACTCCAGACGATTTCGAGATTGATATATTGTAAATACACGTATCTGTTGTTGAAGATTGTATGTTGTCCTCTAGATTCCTTTTAATTATTTTTGTTGTTGGATAGATGCTGGAATTAATGAATAACCAACATCTCGTGTATGCATCTACCATCGTCTACTGAAACAACTTACCTGCGTAGTCTTTTTGTTGAGTACCATATATTGACCTGTTGATGCTTTGATCTGTCTGATTTACTTGTTTGTAGAGTGGGGGCATTTATTTATGTTTTGCTTTTTCATCTACGTACACAATTCCTTTTATTTATATTTTCATAAATTAGTAGAAAATGTCTACCACAAAATGTATATTAATCGGCACACATGTATTTCTTCCCAAATACATGTAATGTCCTTCTCCTTCGGACCTCTTTCTTTTATAGATCTTATCACTTGTACAGTCATGATTCATGTTGCTATTGCACGATTCGGTCAAAGCAATGCACTTTTGAATTTATTTTAATAACTGCATTGATTATAACTATATATTCAGAAAATAATGTACCAGAGTTTTGTGATTAAATATTCTTATTATATCTCCTTTTGTTCTTGGTGTAGAACCTAAATGAAATGAATACAGAAAAGTTGGTATTTTTAGTAAATTCACTTTCTTACATGTAAATTTCAAAGCAATATTAATAAAAAAAAAATGCATGGACATGGAATCTTTGATTTAAATATTATTGTTTTGAAGGTATACTGGTAGAAATAATTCAGACAAAAAATCAAGGAGATGTACAATTCACTACACAGAATATACTTAGCTACTATACACCGTTGTCGCTTTACAGTGTTGATGTTTCAAACAGAACATACATACGGTTTCTTGTGAAAGCAAAAGAGTCAGCATTTGTGGCACTATGGTCTTCTTCTAATATATCTGACTCCATGTTTTATGAATTTGCATTGGGAGCTGCAAGTACTGCCATTTCTTTACGTCGAAATAAGGTCACGGCGTATTTTGAGCATTTTACGCCTGGTACATGGATGAGCAATGCGGAATTCATGCCTTTTTGGATAAGTTGGGAAAATGGAGTTAAGGAAATTGGAACCTCATCAGAACTTTCCAAAGAAAAAAGAAAAAGCTGGCCAGACCCAAATCCATTGAATGTTTCTTCTGCAGGAATACTGACAGGGTGGGGACAGGATGGGGAATGGATAATCTATCCATATAAAGGTAATATAAAAGGGCAGATTACAAATAACTGTAAAGAATTCTTCAGCAATTGTTGTTTTTTTTTTTTTTTCCTGATTATTGGGGGGTCTTAATACCTAGCATCAAAGCACATCTTCACTTAAAAACTGGGAAACTGTAATACATATCGTTACATACTCGTCAAGAAGAAAAATATTGCAAGATATATAAAGTGTTTGTGAAATGACCATTGTATTCCCGTTATTATTATTTTGAACATAATATGATTGCAAAAGAGAGGCAAAAGATACCAAAGGGACATTCAAACTCATAAGTCAAAAATAAACTGACAACGACATGGCTATCGTATCAACTGGGAGATATATACTCCGTATGCAGGCGCTGCTGGAATTTTGCTACATAGAAATGGAAAGTACACAATTGGGAAGCTGAAATCATCTCTTTTGTCGCAAAGTTCTGTTTTCAACCGACCCTCATTGTCAATTTCTAGATGCAAGGCAGACTTAACTGTATCTGTTGTGTCCTTTATCTCAAGTTCGATGGTATAGATGCGTTCAACATAGTCACCAAATTTTGAATTATTTAGTGAAAGAACATAATCTATATAGCGGAAAGTAAAGTTAAAGGATACTTCTTATCTTTCTTCCAAAGAAGTTCCTGTAAAAAGTCAGCCTCATATGAATAAAGGAACAAGTCGGCAAATAGAAGGGCACAGTTGGTTCCCATGGGAATGACGATTGTTTGTTGAAAAATAAGTCCTCCAAACGTAACAAATATTTTGTCAATCAAGAAATCAAGCATCTTGATAATGTCAGTTTCAGATATTATTTTTTTTTTATTCAGAGTGAATTTTTACAAAGTAGGATTTATCCCTCCCTAAGACAAGTTATTTGTATCTACCTTGGCCATTCCTTTTTATGAACCAAAGCAGGACAAACTCTTTCAATTTGTCTTTCAGTTTGCAATACTTGTGTAATGTGTAGAATAGTCAAATGTTTTAATACTATTGCAAGATGAAAGAGTCTTAGATTGTATGTACTCTAAAAGATCTTTGGAATTTTTCAGTATCCACATCTGATTCACGCCACCTCTAGAATAGGTAGTTTCACAATAACTTTGAAGCACGGCTTTGATTGCTGATAAAATTGATGTTAAAAATTTAGAAAGAGGTTTCATGGTGCACTTGGAAGACCGAGCAATATACCGTTGTTTGTAAGGACACTTATGTAGTTTACGTATCCAATACAATAATAAACAGTTCTTCATCTTTGGTTGAAATTCAAAAGGAACATAGATGTGATTCTTAAGTGTTTCTCGTTTCTCGTTTTTCATATAGATTAGACCGTTGGTTTTCCCGTTTGAATGGTTTTACACTAGTCATTTTTGGGGCCCTTCATAGCTTGCTGTTCGGTGTGAGCCAAGGCTCCGTGTTGAAGACCGTACTTTGACCTATAATGGTTTACTTTTACAAATTGTGACTTGGATGGAGAGTTGTCTCATTGGCACTCATACCACATCTTATATCTATAGAACAGACCTATGATTATCAAGGATTTATTATGGGGATACATGTTGAGTTTCCAAGTGAATTGTCAATACCTAATTCGTTTATCAAGCAGTTTATGTAATGGGATTTACGCACAAAAACGATGTTGTTTGGGCTTTATCTGCGGGAACAACAACATATTTGTCATGGAGGTAGGACCGGTGTTTTGCAACATTTGGGTCTTTAAAGATTGATGTAGCATGGGTATTCATAGATCCATTCAGTTTCTTAATTCTGATTTGTATCAACGACCTCACAGCCTTAATCCATTCGGAAAGAGTATCTACGTCTTCTTTCTCGCGTTTAACCCATTGCCTGGCATAATTCTCTACTGAATCCATCAGTATTTTGAAGTTGTGTTTCCAATTGATGGATTTAGGCTCACGTTATTTTAGGCCTTTGAATAACACATTTCGCAGAGAAGTGTTTATGACAGTGTTTAGGTCACCAGTAATAACGTGGCCAGCCGGCGTATACCAATCCGCAAGGATTACACTCTAATCCGTAGACGACATTTGTTGATTTACAATTCAGATCATCGTAGCCTCTGATTGTTTTCCAATTTTTAACGCACAACTCAATTTGAGGCTTATTCTATTTACGATGATATATTGAAATTATCTGAAACTGGAAGCCCACTAAAAGTTCAGTTCCCATATGCTATGTCTATTTAGTTCTGCACACCCGTTGTACGTTAATATGAATGTTGTAATTTATAGATAACTATGAAACCGTATTATATCCACACATAAGCCAGTGCTTTGGTATATGAATAGTTTAAATAATATATTTAAATCTTTTATTTTTCAGCAAAAAAATCTGACTTTAGACAATTTTGAATGTTTTATTAAGGTTCTTTGTGGTATCAATTCTCTGAAAAGCCGTGGCAGCCAGTTATTATTACTCTTGACCTTTTGGTTCAGTTTCGTCCTGAACATGCATGAAATATTTGCCACTGGACGTTAAGCAATCAACAATCAATCAATTTTGGTTCAGTTGAGCTATAATGGCTGTGAAATGAAATAACAGAAAAAATAATCTGATTAAAATACATACCCTATATAGATATAAGAAGATGTGGTATGAGTGCCAATGAGACAACTCTCCATCCAAGTCACAGTTTGTAAAAGTAAACCATTATAGGTCAAAGTACGGCCTTCAACTCGGAGCCTTGACTCACATCGAACAGCAAGCTATAAAGGGCCCCAAAAATGACTAGTGTAAAACCATTCAAACAGGAAAACCAACGGTCTAATCTATATAAAAAACGAGAAATACTTATGAACCACATCAACAAACGACAACCACTGAACACCTGTATATACGATTTGTTTCAAGGATCTGAAAACACTCCGTTCCTCCAATTTCCGTGAGTATAGGTAAACCACCAACTAAATGTTCAACGAAGAAGTACAAAATTCCCATATGTTTGTATGCAAATTTGGCAAAAACAGAAAATTAAAGATCCACGAAAATAATAATAATTTGCCCTTCATCCCCGAAAATACAATTTGTCTTTCATCAACGAAAATTGGTACCCACGAAAATATGAGTCCACAGTGTTTTAATCAGATTAAAGCAAAATGTTCCTATCTCTTTGAATGTGTGATATCCTTTATAACTTTGTTATTTCATTTTTATATTTACTTTATTTCTTAGTTGAAGAAGAGAGTTCCCGTAGTTGTTCTAGTATGGTGCACAAGAAGACCAACATAAGTTCTGAAGCTGCAAATACCAAAGCGAGACGGTTGAAAGAATAATTAGTGATTAAAAAGGATAGTTTATCTAGATTCGAAAGAAGAAAGATCAGTGTCGGCGATTATCGTGGTTCATCAAAACACACCGGATACATAGCAGCAGCTGTTCTTACATTCATACTGGTTGGTATCTGTTCTTTGGATTGTTTCTCTGTACGAAGAAAATAAGAGTTGATTGTCGATAATCCTAACGGTTATCTGTCAAATTACATAAAGTATCTCATTTTGTTTTAATTGTTAACTTTTGAACTTACATTTTATGACATCGGAGCAACTATCAGATGGTTTTGGAAGGATTTGTCAAAATATAATGATAAAAAAAGTCATCTGAAAATATGAGTGGCGAAACCCGTAAGGATGTAATAACAAAAACAATGCATGAACTGTAAATATAAAATCGGATACAGTTACAGTTCACTGCTTGGCACAGACAAATCAACAAATGATGGTATGAATATGAAAATACAAAGATATGGTATTAAGTATAATTGCCAATCATTCAACCAGAGACCAATTGACGTAGATGTAAGCAAATAAAGATCTTCTTACGGCCTTCAACAATGAGCAAAACCCATATCGTATAGAAAGCTAGAAAAAGTCCCGACATTACAAAATATAAAACAATCCAAACGAGAAACCGGCGGCCAGATTAATTTACTAAACAGTAAACGAAAAATAAGTATGATGGACAGCAGACAACGACAACCACTGAATTATAGGCCCATGACTTGGGACAGGCACATAAATAATAAATGTGTCGGGGTTAAACAAAACAAGTTTGGGGGCACTCAATCCTCCCCTAACCTGGGACAGCTGAAATGGCACAATATAAGAGTTAGATAATTTTTCCATGTTAATCTTTCGCTTTACGTCTCGATCAGCGGAATAACATAGTTAATAAAGGAACCTAGTATGATAAATATAAAAAGAAGAATATATGAAGAGAGAAAATGCAATGGGTGGTATTAAAGATAACCGAAACACAAGAACAATCACAAAAATATTAATAAGCAAAACTGTATCAAATAATGCTCGCTTTTACTGAATATATCTCAAAGTATCTAACTTGCTGATACATCAATTTGAGGTAGTCGCATATTTTTACATCGAGATGTCATCGTATACAAAACATCACAACCAATTACCGATATCAAGAGCTTGTGCGGTATCAAAAATAATTTTATAAGGAAATTCAATGAAACAAAAAGTCAAAAAAAAAAGAGTATATTTTTTTTCAAACAATAAATTACATGTAACGAATTGAAGTTTCTTCAAGTAGAGCATTCCTAACACCAGGTTAGAACATTAGAGGATTATCTACAAGGCAAGAAAGAAACAAATTCAAAATCTTTGCATTGGCCTATAAATTTATCATGTATATTAACAGGAAAAACTGAATGGGGTATACCTAATTTTATCAAATTCCTACAGGGCACAATGTTAACAGTTCTGTCAAATTCAGTCAGGAGCCTCTAGCCTTTGTTAGTCTTGTATTATTTTTAATTTTGGTTTCTTGTGTGCAGTTTGGAGTTTGGTATGGCGTTCATTATCACTGGACTAGTATATATATTTGTTTGGGGCCAGCTGAAGGACGCCTCCGGGTGCGGGAGTTTCTCGCTGCATTGAAGACCTGTTGGTGACCTTCTGCTGTTGTCTGTTCTATGGTCGGGTTGTTGTCTCTTTGACACATTCCCCATTTCCATTCTCAATTTTATATTATAGTTGTTAATTTCTGTGTAATTTGGTCTATCGTGGAGAGTTGTCTCATTGGCATTCATACCACATCTTCTTTTTATATTTACACTTACAAAATTATTCTTTTACATAAATGATTACATTTAGAATATGTAGTATCTTTGGCCAATTAATAATATATGTCTGCTGTTAAAGATTTTTCAAGATTACATCACATTGTATCACGTCCATTTATATTTTATATTTCATAAGTTATAGCAAACAGATGATTATCGAAATAAAACTCAACGGAACGTCCCCATCAAGGAAAGAGAAATGAAAAATAAGGTCTCATGAAGAAAATCAACATATGTTACCTGATTAATTCAAACTTAAAGTTCTATACCTTTTTACAACCTAATGCATCCAAAATTTTGATCATAAGAGGGTAAAAAAGAGGCGTAAATACAAAGGGGTCATGAAAAACTGATAAGCCAAAAAGAGACAGACATAACCGTCGCAAAACAGCGAAAACGACTAAAAAATTAACAGGTTTCAAAATACTACAAAGAAAAAATGACTGAGAAAATGAACCTTACAAAAAAAAAAACTTGGTGATCATATAATAGACATTTACCCTCAAAGACATAAATCAAAAGCTTTCTGTTGCCCTCGGTCATCATCTCGAACAAATGTAACGCTGTTATAACCATGAAGAGAAACGGAAACCAAAGGCTACAAAATATCGAATTCCCAATCCGATCAACTGAGAGAAAATCAGGTACATATATAATAGATGCAGTCGAGGACTATGTCAGAAAAGCACGAGCCAGATTGTCCTCCACTGGATACTATCTGAATGTATCAAGGTTGTTCCATCATGTATTTATAAGCACATCCAAAAATCTATGATGTAAAATAAGCACATGGATTCCTAATCTTTTCAAAAAGTCTGAGGTTGCTAAGGCAATAACCTCTCTGCTGTTGACAAAACTTTGAATTGTTCGGAAAACTCAGGATTGTCTCCCATATAAATAGATTACCTTATCTGTATTTTGAAAAACTTTCCGAATTTTGTGACCTCAATGATGAGGTTTTTTTTTTTGTGTATAATACAGGATGGTCTTAGATTCTAAGTGCTGACGTCGTGTATTGTTTTATTTACTGTTGCAGTTTTAGGAGGGGTTCGTGTTGCTCAGTCTTTAGATTTCCATGTTGTGTTTTGTGTACTGTTAACATTGAGTGTCTGTTGTTTTTTTTTTCTTTTTTAGCCATGGTGTTGTTAGTTTATTTTCGACTTATAAGTTTGAATGTCCCTTTGGTATCTTTCGGCTCTCTTTTCCTTTTACTTGTTTATAATCCAAACACACATACAATTTAATCTAAGATAAATTTAATTATATGTGTGTTAGGGTTATTAATCCTTGTTATGTTGTATACCTATGATGTATGTTTAAAAATATTTGTCTGCTGGATCCCAATTACTATCACGTTCACCAATTATGTCTGTTTTGGTTGCTCACACAATTTTGTCAATAAAACGAAACTACATACAACTGTCATACAATTGGGAGTTTTAGCTAACTATGAAACCAGGTTAAACCAACCGTTTTCTTCGGAAATGCTGGTACAAGTCAGGAATATGCCAGGTTATTTTAGTTGTTCTGTTGGTTGATATAGTCGAGCGTTTTGTTTTTTCAGTTTATATGGACTTCACCCTTGTTTAATTTACTTTGGAGATCGGTAATTTTGTTATTACTATTTTATATTAACACAGCTATCTTTCCAATAATTGGATAAAAGTGAGGCGGAAGATACCAAAGGAATATTCCAACTCATACGTCGTAAACAAACTGACAATGCCATGGCAATAAACGAAAAACGAACAAAAGACAAACACAAGTATACAAAACACGACTGAGCAACACGAACTAAACCAAAAGCCAGGGAGGATATATATGTAACCTGTTATCTGGATATTATGTAATAATATTGCATGTACTGATTCTCAAATTAAAAAGAACATGAATGTAGAAAAGTATCATAAATAAAACTGCATCCTTAATTATATTTAGACCAAGTAAATATTTGAATATACCTAATTGTTTATTAAAGCGAAGGAGGAATTTTTATCTGGTATAAGCGAAAACATATAAATTAAATCTTACCCAGTATGGTGTCCTTAGTTTCAGCTTTATCCAAAAGAGGACATTGCTTTACATTAGGGCGATGTTTATAAAAGCACGGAGGTTGTAGGAGAAGGTCTCATACAACCTCCTGAATAAAAGTAAATAAAACCTAGTGCTGGTTAATTATTGAATAACCTGGTGAAAGAAGGTGCCTGTCAAAATACTAATAACTTTTACAAACGGTTTGTACAAATTATAGTTAGTAGCTATAGAAAATTACAACATGTACACAATGTTTATGAATGTGAAGCAATTTAAACAAAACAAAAAAAGAACAGCTACGTTTTGCTAGATTTATTCTTTATATTGAATACATTATTGCCTGGTAGAATATTCGTTATCTACAGTCGGTGGTTTACATGGAGGTTCAATAATATCCTTCTGCATGTTTAGCCGATTGTGCTTCAGATTTGTTGACAGCTTTGTTAAGTGCATCTCTCTTCCTTGAATGATACATCATTTTAATTTTCATTTTAATCCTGGTTGAAAGTATTCTGCTAAAAAGCAAAGAGCATATAATGACACCTATAAAGTGAGTAAAAACATTTATATATATAGTATTTCTTCAAACTTGGTAAATTAATCATGGCACTTTCTAAATATTAACCAGTATTGCGGCAGGCAGTGATTTCAAGGAAGAGTCGTTATTTTTCTTGGCCATCAGTTATAAAACTATGTTAAACGCCTCAAGTACGTCATATTCAAATTCATTAAAATCTTGGTATTTTACAAGAATTCTTACGCTTAAAAAAATATTTTTTACTTGAAATGTTCCATGGGTCTAATCAAGTTTGTTTAACCACAGGTACAAAGCACTCTTACCTTTATCTTTCACCATATGATTACATTGCTGTCTGTCTTTTAAGTAAACATGCAACCAGTAAGGCATTGCTGTAAAAAGGCATTCGTTGTTTTTAGTATTGTTTGTTATGAATAAAAATAACCATGATACTTACAGAAAAAAATAATACAGTCTACAACGTTAGACAGATGTCTTTAATAAAATAATACAGTCTACAACGTTAGACAGATGTCTTCAATAAAATAATACAGTCTACAACGTTAGACAGATGTCTTCAATAAAATAATACAGTCTACAACGTAAGACAGATGTCTTTAAAACATGTCAGGTTTTAAATCAACCAGAGTATATACAATTTGTGAATATTTTAAGAAAAAATATATTGAAACATTAACATTTCTTATATCAACAATAAATTCTCCAAATAACAAAAATCATTAAGATATGGAATACGATAACCACTGACGACGTTCCTGTTTTTGAAGAGGCTCATGAATTGGTTGTGAAAACGCAATTTAAAAAATGTATGATATATAACAAAAACGTTATATAATAAACCATATATTTCACTGTATTAAAGAATGGCCCTATAGTTGTTTATATTCTCGTCCTTTGGCCTCTGGGGGATAGTTGTCTTATCAGCAATCATACCAATTCTCCATATTTGTACATCGTAGTTACCGAAAGCTAGCTCAAAGAACTCGACCTGTTTTATACGGGATGTAAATTTTATGTGTCACAGAGTTTTGATAACATATTTTTCTTTTTGTCCGAGAGGAGATTGTTCTTCAATATTGAGATTTGATTAGTCATCGGCCGTTGCATATTAATACTTCTCTTTGTGAAGTACTTTTTTTTCATTTCACGTTTTCATATCTGTGTTACAACATAACAAATGTTAGTAGTTAGGTCCTATATTTGATTCTTATGAAAATACCAACTGTATCTGTTTCTCAATTAATCAATATAAACTAAAAAGAACATACCGTGTGCTCGGTATGCTTTTCCAGGAACCAAGTTAAATTTTTGTTTCTGAGTATTCCTTGAGATGTGTTCTAAAGTTGTCTGATTTTCTTCATCTTGAAATGATGATGGGACGAAGGGGTGTTCATACTTAGCAGTTTTTGTAAGAAGACTGAAATGTAACATATGATACAATCGTAAAAACATATGTATATGTGTACAGTAAAAACATTTTCCTTTCAAAACTAAGTTCCCTACTGTGACTTGGTGTGTCAAAGGCATCGACGTAACAGAACATAACAATGAATTTGGATCAACTGACCAGATGGTATACATAATGGAGCTGCAAAACCAAAGGAGTATCCAGAACCCATAGGTCGATACAAGGCAAACAACACCTTGACCAAAAATAAATAGGCGGATAAATATTATATCTATATATGGGTCGATATAAAGCTCTATTTCACGATTGTATATACCAGCTCAATATTTTTTATTAATCCGTTTATAGTGTGTCACTGCTTGTGACGTGTTTCTGTGGGTTGTACATGATGACTTGCATGGATCCCCTGTCGAGGTCGGCGATTTTTTTTTTCTGACATTTTTAATGTTTTAATATTATATCCAGAAATTGGAATTTCTATAACTCATTCTTAGGTTGTTTGTGACAAGTGTTCAGTGCAATAGTCTGTCTTTTATATGGCCATGGTGTTGTTTCTGTTTCTTCAATTTTCGATTTATAATTGCCCTTATTAAGTACTTTACAATTTTCTTCTGTGCATTTTCATTTTTCAAACTTTTGACAGAAAGTTTTTTTGTTATGCGTTTATACATCTATGTTGTGATATGTGCATTCAATTACATTTGCTGACAAATATGAATAAATTTCAGTGTTTTACACATGTACAATAATCGTAAATTACAAACTTGACATAGTAAACCCCATGTTCTTGAGACTCAATTCTATCCCAGTTAGTTGGCAGACTATCTTTTATAAGAGGATGACTCCAGTGTGTAGTTTTCTTATTGTGGTCAATGTAGTATTTTCTACCACGAAATGTCCAATTATAACTCCAACCCATCGGTAAAGATATTTCGACGGGTTCGTTTATTAAGTCTTCGTCTCTTTTGAATGCTGCAAAGTATACAAAGTAGCAATAACAAAAACTGCATTTACATGAACAACAACTGTTTATAATTTAAATCTATTCTAAATTATTAAGCATTCACCATTGGTTTCATAAAACTTTTTCAGCAATTTACTCAAAGCTCCCTAGAATATAATTTGGTCATATGATAGAAAACATTTCCTGGCAATCATTCTATTGTTTTTATTATTAACATGCACAGAGCGAACCAACTTCATTCTGAATGTCAACCAGTATAAAATCATTACAACGACACTTTTTTTGATTGGGCTGAATATTTATTCCTAAAATATCACTGTGTAACACACCCATCGGTCCCTTATGACATTTTTTTGTTTCTTGTTTAGCCTAGTTGGGTACAATGTTTTAAGACAGGAGTTGAAAGCTTAATCGATGTTAATCCGAATAGTTCAGGCATTACTTTCAACTACTCTATACGATGGGTGCATTATAGCGCGTTGGAAAAATCGATTACGTGGAGTCTAGTAAGACTGAAAATGGATGTTCACCAAGAAACAAAATGACTCTAAAAGGAAAACTGAATTTAATACGTACAAATCTCCCGAAAGTCAATAAAAACTAATCAAATATACCAGCTGGCTAATATTTGGTACCCCAGATGCGTATAGTAAGTTACAAAATATGTGATTCAACTATCCATCAACTATTCAGTTTACCTGTGGTTTCTGGATTTCCACGACCAAGATTTTTTTCTTCATTTGTCAAATGTTGTATATCTCTACACTTTTCAGAATTTCGTTCCAGTTCTAACTGTTGTTGGTTGGATACAGTTTGAGCATTGTTTCGATCTGCATCAAACAACTGTTGTATTGCTTCGCATTGATTTTGAATTTTACATTTCTCTACCAATGTTTGTGCATTTTCCTGTTGTTTAGACATTTGCAGTTGATCCATCTCTGACAGATTAATAGTTTTACTTTTAACTGAACTTTGTTCTACATCTGGTGATTTACTTTGTCCTGGTGTAAACTGGTCCAACTCTGACAAAACCTTAATTGCTCTGCTTTGTTCTTGCATGGCTTCTCTCATCCGTTTAAGTCCATCCTGCAGAAGAAATGCAACTTTTTGCAATTCCGTTTCTGACTTTTTTAGTTTCGTCCTGTTTGTTGAATTTTCCGAATCTACGCCAGCCATTAAAATGTCAACTGGTTTCTGGATCAAATGTTCAATAGTTTCCATTACCATTTTGAAAGCATCCGTCAGGGCGTTGATTGCAGTCCTTAATTTTCCATTTCGCAATTTTAAGTTGAATGTATCACCTGAACTAGAACTTCCATATGTACTCGAATTATACGGATATTCATTTCTGGTCTTGAAGAAAAATAAATCCTCTGAACTATTACATAAACTTTCACTATCCATATCGTCACTGGGGAGTTCAATGCAACGATAGCTATATATAGTACAAAATGTATAATTAACCAACAATAAAATTAAGAAAACGACAAATTTGTAGTTTCGTTGTAACGAATTTCACATTGATTCTATTTATAGCCACTGGTGTTGTGTATTATCTTAAATTTAAACGAACAACAATACAATCCTTGAAATTCTTTGCATTCCAAATCATATATAAAAATAGAAAAAGTATGCTATGATAAATTATCCTACCTGTATACAATAAATATAAAAGAAAACAACAGCTACGTTGAATACAATGTAGCTTATTTATAGACGATAACGACATATTAATCTGTTTTTAATTAATATTTGATCATATTTAATAATGAAACAAAAAGCAAACCGACAATTAACGACATATATATATATAGAGGACCGCGGATGACCCTCACAAAGGTGACAGCGGGAATAACACTCAGGTTTTTTTTATATAGTAATTTAATCATAGTACACAATGTTATATATGAGGGTCTGGATAGTGTTTACAGAATAGAGAATATAATGGCAAAAAAAAATAATGAATCGAGAAAAATTAGCAAAAAAAAGTAAAGAATAGAGAATAATGTGGTGCAAAAGTTTAAAAAATAACTGGGAAAAAAGAATTAGGTAATATAATGCTAATTATAGAAATGAACGATGTACAGAATAAGGAAATCATATAATCACATGTAAAGTTAATAGTAAAGCAATGTTCGTGAGAATTTCACAGAATAAGCGTTACTTTTAAAGATTGAGAATTGACAAAAAAAATCCTAAGTATGAGGTAGAAAATTTTAATTTTTGTTTTTTTGTTTTAGTGGAAATCAGACTTTAATTTTATGGCAGATGTATTCGTAGAATTTTTTCTGTTGGTTCCTATAAAAGTTGATGAAGGAATAATCGTTTAAGTTAGTGAAAATGTGTCTTACCGTATAAAAGACCAGTTAGATATCAAACAATTATATTAATTCATTTTACATAATTCCAAACAGCCAAAAAAATATGTCCTTTATACGTTAAAATGCATCACATTCAAACAAACAGGTAAGCAACAGTAATTTGAATACGAGGTCGTACTAAGACATCACTCATCACTGCAATAATCATAGCATAACACTCTACTTAAATGATGTGTGGAGTCAATACATACCAAAGTAGCAAAACTCATTTGATGTAAAACTGTCCCAAAGTGTGTATTTCAATCGGATAAGCGAAATTAAAATAGTTATGATTGCGTCATTTTTAACCAATATCACCGAGTAATAAGAGCTTCATTTTTTCGTAAGATTTTGTTTTTACAGCGATCGAGTTTAAGGAGTTTGAGTATTCACATTACTTGTTTCATTCCCACCATATATTGATATTCTGTCACAAGTAACAAACAACGTCCGCGCACTAAACTCATTTAGTGTTTACTGAAAAGGTACCGCTGATGGTAGTCTATAAATCTCCAAGGGTACCATATGTACGAATAACCAGTGCTTCCGTAAATAGCTCTTCATTTCCAGTATCCGATAGAATTGTGTCATGGTTATATCATGTATATTACTAAGATTGCAACTTCTTCATTCAAAGTTAGACATAGACACTTTTGCTAACTCTATTAATCTCTTTTGCTTTTTAAACGTGCTTTATCTATGTTTTTTCTTTCAAAATTTTGGTCTCAAGCGTACCAGATAAAAGTTATTAAATCCAGAATCGCATTTTATGCCAATTATAATTTGCCGTTTTACACGCAGCAATCATATCACTATCAATCAGAATATTTTGATACTGACCAAAATTATCAATGAACATTGTGGATACTTGGTGTCTTGAATACTTCCAATTGTCTAAGATTGTCATCGTAGTATTAGTTGGTGAGCAAGCGCCTCATATAGAAACAAACAGCACGCTGCACGCTTGTATCTTTTGATTGAAGTTGTATGGGTTTTCCTGACTAAACGTATCGATTCCAGTCGGACGTGGCTGCGTGTTTATACATCCCGAACAACCAAACGTATCCTCTCTTCATCAGCATCAGAACGGGGTCAAAGTGACAATATTTCTTTACCCCATTCAATGATTTCGGTCAACTTTTATGTTTGAATAGGACACGCGTTTAAATGATATGAATAAAGGAGATATGAGGTAATTGTACGTCTATGAGAAAGCTCAGCAGCAACTAGTATTCACCATATCTTGACATCTAGACACCTTTACAGTCTCTTCGAATATAGACAAGCGCCTACACAAACGGTAAGTCAATAACTGTTCACGTTTAAATAAATGCATGGATGCAACAGCAAACTTCTATGGCAAATAACGTCGGAGTCAATATGAGGCTTAAATAGGGGTATAAGAATATTTCATAAAAGAGAACACATTTAATTGCAAAGGAAATCATAGCCAAATATGTAAAGTACACATTGCTTTAACCAAAATATTACATATATATATTTATGTGTGTTTTAATAACAACTTTATTTATGTTGTCTTCTTGTAGGTACACAATCGAGTATGAAAATAAAGATAATAACAGATACAATAATAAGACACCCTGTAACACCAATGCAAGCAGACGAGAATCTTTTGTCATGCGCACTTGTGATCTCTCTTTTTGTAGAGGAGAGCGTTTTCTTTTTAATGGATATTGCACTTTTCAGCTCTTCTACTGACGTTCTTTCTTTTAAAATGTGGTTTGTAGAATGGCTTACATCAGAGCTTTTACAATCACAGCCGTGATTTGACACTTCTGAAAACATATTTTGATTTTAAAGTTCATGAAAAAAGCATATGCATATTCAAAATCAAAAACATTATTTCTATTTTTACATAGGACATGGGGTTCATGTCATAAACTACCGTATATGTAATACTCGACATATAATTTCCTAAAAGAATCGTTATCCACAGAAACCAGGGCATCCATTGGTAAGGCAATTAACATTTTGAAATAATCTTTAGTTCAATGTTTAAATGCATTTTCAGTTGATCAACAGTTTTTAATACAAATAACGATTTCTGGGATTTGGGTGGGTGGGGGGGGGGGGGGGGATATTTCAAACTGGCTGAAAAAATCATAACCATCATAAATTCATACCTCTACTTCCTCTTTTATACTTAATTATTCAATAGTCCATGTTTTCCTTTTGAAACACCGAACACATTCGGTTCAAAACTAAATACTAGAGCACAATGATATTAGGTACTAAATATTCTTCTTCTTATACTGTAAAGCTGGACTGAATTTCAATCTTATTTCAAGTAAGTCAGGCATTTTAGTATTTCGTGCGATTTGTTTCGCCTTATTTATTTATCTATGTGTGTGCTGCTTTTAATCTGTATAATTTGAAACATTGCTATAAATACAAAAGCTTGTTCTTGGAATAATCTCAATGTTGTTTTTTTTTTATTGTCCCCTTGGTATCTTCAGACTCTTTTTATGTAACCATGAGTTCAAAAAACTTGTATGATTTAACTTAATATACACATATACAGCTATCAACTGTGTTATATAGATAAATCTTACCAGTATTATTTAAAACAATCCATTCTCCTGAAGATCCATATCCTGTCATAACTCCTACAGACTTGATAGAGAACGAATTTGGGTCATGCCAGGATAAAACTTTGTTTTGACACCTATCTACTCCTTTTCCAATGCTGATCGATCCATTTATCCAGGATATCCAAAATGCTTTATATTCTTTGCAGTCCAAAACTCCAGAATGCATTAATATATACGATTCTACTTGTTGATGTAATCTACGGACACGAAGTTTAAAATTTTGATTTGATCCAAAAGCAATCTCGTAATAGTTTTCTTGTGCAGACATTTGTTTTGAACGACATAATGAAACAAAAGCATTGTTGCATGCTTTTATCAGAAACGTAACTGAGTTATCTACCTTGAATCCGTACATTGACAACGAAGTGTGGTAGTCCAATATATTATCCGGGTACCTGTAGGCATCTTTCTTTCCAGTGTTATTTGTGTGAATAAGAATAACCGACTTTCCTAGAAAAATATTAGTTTATTTTCACTTAAATATTGATGCTCTTCTATAGGAAACTATTTATAAACATAGTACCTTGATCCCTATGAAAAAATGCACCGGAAATGTACTTTATTATCTTGTTTAATGATAATTGTACTTTTACTTGCGTATTGTTTTTTATGCAAATAATCATTCAAATTCCAAGTTAGATTCTTGCAAGTGGAGTCCTACATCCACATAAATCTCTGCATTTGTGTTCAAATTTGGTTATAACATTAACCGGTACCAATTTACTGCACCAGCTGTTCATTTCGACAATTAATATCTCTTAAATGATCGAGGCCAAAATATTTGAAAATCCAAAACCTAATACAAACGTTGAAGAGCTGATAAAACCAAAAAGTATAAGTTTTGACGAATTTATTACATGTATATCCCTTCTTTAATACAAATCTTTGCTATGGAGGATCCAACAAAAGATATACTGTCTGTGCAAGAATTTTAACGACGACTCCTATAGATTATATTATTAATCGAATATTTTTAAGGATTTGTGATTCGTTAAAACTTGATCACATGTACATTTGTATATACTCAGTTCGCACGCAAATACTGTTGTGTTTAGCTTTTCATAGGTCAACAACAGCATATTGCACAGGGCATACAGCATCATATTAAATATACATTCTAGAAATCACCAATTTTACATTGTTCATGCAATAGATGTTGATTAATAATATAACAATTGTAGCCTTTGTTGAGGTCAATACGATGCTATATCGACCTAGAGAAGCATATGGACATCTGACTTCGTCCTCAGTCTATATGCTTCTCTTAGTTCGATATAATCTCGTATCAACCTCATACAAACGCTATAATTGTATAATATCATATGTCAGATAATAAATCAAAGTAAAGGATGTGAAAATATCACTTTATAAGTCTTCTAAACTTAGCCTGATATAAATTCATACAACAAATACTTAAATGTGTACTGACATACATATAATTGGAAACTTTAACATGTAAATATATCAAAAATATAACGATTTTTTTTAAAATTCCATGGACAATATATGTGGTAGTTTCAAAGTGCTATACACAAGTTATGAAAATAAAATATATAAAAACAACGACAAACCAAATATTGTTGAGTTATTGTGATTTTGTAAGACAGGTATAAAATTAAAATAC